AAAAACCAGTCGTGGGAAGACCAAAGACTCACTCTCTCTTAGTTTTGCTTTCCATACGGTTGCATCAGACTCCAGCTCAACCAAAGACAAGGTGAAGTCGTCGGGTTTCTCCAAATAGACTTCAATGTAACTTTTTAGTTTCAGGAGAGATCCATCAATGAATTCAATTTCCTACACAATGTAAATATGTTAAAAATAAACATTTATCCAAACATAAACTAAAGAGGAGTATTTGGCTGTTGGCACAGATCTGAGCCCAACTCTAATCTCCCCAGTTTTGCTGTTGACTTTGGCATCAGAATTTCATCCCAAAATTTTAGGGCTCTAAGAGGCAAATGCTTTCTGCAGCGAAGGCAAATGTGAAAAATGCCCTTAATACTAGTGCAGGAAAAGCTGTTTTGTACCGTGTTTCTAATCCAGCTGCAATGCACGAAATGAGGGTTGTGCAAGGGACTTACCTCTGGAGTTATTTCAGCTTCTGGCTCACAAACTAATCTATATCTCTTTCCTCTCTGTAGTAATTTCTGGCATACAGGGGGCTTGTCAATTTTAATGAATTTCTTATTTGAATGTTTTACAGCTCTTGAGATATCCTAAAATTTAAAAATACAATTTAAAGGTTACTCGCCTCAGTGAAGGAATTCACATTTAAAATCTGCGCTAATCTGGCTCCTTGGGCTTTTCTCTGTCCTCAGCCCTATGAAATGGCCACGACCTCTTCCACATGGCAAACTTTACAGAAAACTGTGCACTAAACACCACGCTCAAAAAACATCAAATAAACTTCAGCTATTGTGCTACATGGGTGAAATTAAATAGAAGAGTTTGCAACCCGAATAAAAGGAAGGTTATTTGTTGCTGTCCTCTCCTAGTGTTTGCCTACATATTGTACGGGGGAACGGGTGAGAGGACAAGAAGCACTTTCAGGTACAAACCCTTAGCTCCGTGGATTTTGGTGGCAAACAGGTTTCTGATGTATTTCTTTTCTACAGCAGCTTGTGAGTGAGCATGTGGGCCAGTATAATTCCTTGAATATCATATTCTAACTTGGCAGACCTTTTCGGTACGGAAGTCTCATTACATACATACATATATAAAATACATACACTGGGGCAAGAGCATCTCTTCGCCATGCCCCATCCTCAACATAGCACCCCCATAACCCACCCTGCCAGTATTTCTACATCACGCCACCCTACACCCCCAACACCAGCCATACCTTTATAAAGGAGTCATTGTTTGTAGCCACGTAGACCCGAAAGGATAAGGAGGGATGCTCATCAACAACTTTGTAGAGGATGACGACGCCGTGGTACTGCACCGGCTCCTGGGTCTGGATGAGCGGTCCCACCGGCGAGAGCGAGCTCACCAGCCACTTCACGTGCGAGGCCGAGTAGTCGGCGGACGGCTCGATGGCTGCGCCCTGGCCTTTGATGTGCAAAACCTTGAAAGCCATGCCAGCACCATGATCTGCGGGGACACAGGGCTGTCTCAGCACCTCCTGCGCTGGGAAGCCAGCAGCCTCCCATGCCCGCCCAGCCGGTGGCCGGCACTCACCGCCGAGGCAGAGGGAGTGGGGAAACTGGATGGAGGTGAGAGCCAGGGCCGAGTCGCAGCGCACATCGAAGAGGGGGCCGCCCACGATCCATGGCTTTTCCACGAGGCTGGCATATTTGCTCCAGGATAAGAGGGAATATGTGATCTTGACGGCCCCCGTTACCTCAAAAATCAAGCCTGTGAGGCTGCACTGGTAAGTCCCCTCTGCATCCAGCTGCACCCTGCCATGGGCAAGAGTGACCCGGTTAGTTTAGTTACCACCACCTAGTAAATACTGTAACAATATGGTTTGCAAGGGATAACAGAGAAACTCCCTTCCGAACAAGCACAGAGCACTTTATCTGAATAGCACAGAAGCCACAACAATGTTTTTTTCTCCAGTCTCTATGTTTAAACCGTCACTGGAGTGCTAAAAACTGGCTGGGAGGACCCAGCCAGTGCATGCAAAATAGCTGTAATGAACATTTTGCATAAGCTTTCCTGCAAATGAGGCAGCTGCTTTTACAGGAAGGGCTCAGCCCAGCTCCCATCGACGTCGGAGCCAACATCGTACACCGACATCAACATCATACATGGACAACACAAACATCCCACACTGATGACAACTTCCAAGCCAGAGAGAGGGAGCACAAGGCATCCAAGGCAAAATGCAAGGTCAGTGCAAATGGGGAGGACAAGTATTCCTGTGAAGCAGGGCGAGACCCGCCATGTGTGTCCAGACGAAAAAAAAGCACGTAAAAATGCGCCCGATGTTAGTTACCACAGCGAGACAAGGCAGGCAGGAAGCCATCCTAAAAGCTTTCTTGGACCAGGACCTGCAGGCAGCATGGGCAGCTGCTCTAAATTGTTTATTTTTAAGGATTTGGGGGCATCTGTTATACCTCCAAATGTATCTGTGCAGCAAATTATTCTTTTTCCCACTTAAACCGAAGAGAGAAGTATCTTGATGACAACAATATAAATGTATACCCATTATATTAAAAAAACCATACACGTGTTGTCCTCCAGAAAGTCTCCTGGGGGTCACTTGCTCCTTTTGGTCCTAGATAAAAGAAAAATATATTTTTAAAGAGGTGAGAATTACAATTTGCAGATTATCTCATGCAAAATTGGGGGGGGGAGTTTATCAACATACAGTTTCATTTCTGCAATGCTCACAGGGTGGCAGACAGTTCACTCCTAGCGAGAAAACAGGAAGATTAGTTCAGTAAAAGCAAAGTAATTAAACACTCGGGAAAAAACCCAACCCTCAAGAGATCTGTTACTACCTGATTCATCGCAGTGCGGTAGCGATTCCTTCTCCTCTTGTTCTTCATCTACAAAAAAGAAGTTTGCAGCAAATACTTCAGCCTCCAGCAGGTTTCTGCTCCCATATTCAGCAAGGACAACCCACTAGTTTAATTTGCTTACATTTAAAAATACCGAAGGAGAATATTCCTAAGACTAAGTTCTTACAGGCACACTTGCACACCTTCGTGTGCAGGTTTTGCACAGTGTGGGGATGAAGGTGAACATCAGGATACAACATTTGTCATGAGTTCATAACTTGCCCAAACTACTAGAAATTTCCACAGGGGTTAAAAAAAAGACTCGTCCCCAGGATAAGTCTCATCATGCCAAGTACAAAGTTCAACCACTCGGCTTTGAAGCTGGCAACAGCGCTTTCCAGCAAGCAGGTAACCACACTATTTGCAGTGTATTTGTCCCTAAAGCGATTTAGAAGTGCCTGAATCCTCCTTACTAATCCCCAAGACAACAGAAAGCAAGCAGAGCTGACACATTGGGCAAAAGTTTTTGGCCTGAAGGGTGGATTTTGCAGAAGCCGAGCGGCAGAGCTGTTGTGACAAGGTGTGAGGAGGGGCTGGCTGCCGGCGTGCACGGGCGCTGTGCTGCTCGCTCCCACCAACGCCCCTCCCTGCAAGCAGGGCCTCCAGCCGAGCTGTCCCAAAGTCACCCGGGGACATCAACACCCTCCTGGCCAGGCAGATGTGGGAGAGGCAGAAAATATACTGCTGCAGCGAACAGCCTGGAAAACATCAGGCAAACACCCGCCAGCGCGTTGGCTCCCTTCCCGCAGCAACGCTATTTCAGTCCCCGCGCTGCAGCGGGGCTGCAGTGACCTGGGGCCACCCGTGGCGTGCGGGCAAGGAAAGGTGCCTCACCCCGTCCGGCATCTCCCTGCACCCACAGCCCTGCGCCGGGCTCCATTTGCAAACAGGGGCAGCGAGCGTGCACCGTGCATGCACCCCACGCACCCCCCCTTCTTGGGTATGCTCTCTAGCAAATAATTTTACCGAAAGACATGGAGGTGACGGCTGGGCCAGCACGAAATCACTGTCTTGCCATCGCACATCATTACCCTCGTGCATCCCTTATCCGTGTTGGCTTCCTCACACCTTGCAAGGCAGATATAAGGAACAAAATAAAAGCACACTCACCCGACCTTCTTCCATCCAACTCCTCCGCATCTGATGAGAAAAAGCTTTGTAATTATTTAACTAAAGACTATCAATCTTGCATGAAACCCGAATAAACTGCTGGTGGTGTAACCCGTGTAAGCGTAAACCCACAGGCTTTTCATCAACAGCAAACGCTTCCTTTAATTCTTTTCCTGTCCATCCTGTTTTGCCACTTTTGCTGCCAACTTTTAAGCAGATTTATAGCCTTTTGGTGTCGGGAGAACTACTGCGGTGTAAAAATATCTGCATGTATTGTGTCTACGAGGCTAAAGCAACATTAGCTGCTGCTCCTCTATTATTGCTCTGCTCATAACTGAGCGGCTAGGAAATTATTTGCTCACAAAAATATCATTCTGCTTTTCAGCATGCAATCACTGAATTAACAGTCTTACACAATAACCCTGAGACTATGCCCATGAAAAGCAGCTGGTTTAAACTGAACATACATTTTCAAAAGGGAGAAAATATATAAATCACAATGCGATGCTCACCTGACTCCTCGTCCGAGCTACTGCTGGAGCTGTTTTCGGAACTGTCCTCTCCTTAACAAAATTACACCCCATTAGTCACAGGCAGAATGAAATAAAGCAATGCCACAGGTAAGGAAAAGGATACATCTACAAGTTTAAATACATCAGGTTGGTCAGTGTTGTGGTTTAACCCCAGCTGGCAACTGAGCACCACCCAGCAGCTCGCTCATCCCCCCCCGCCCCAGTGGGATGGGGGAGAGAATCGGAAAAAAAAAAAAGTAAAACCCATGGGTTAAGATAAAGACAGTTTAATAGGGCAGCAGAGAAAAAGAAACCAATAATAATAGTAATGATAAAAGAATACACAAAACACATGATGCACAATGCAATTGCTCATCACCTGCTGACCGATGCCCAGCCTGTCCCCAAGCAGCAATCACTGCCCCCTGGCTGACTCCCCCCAGTTTATATACTGGGCATGACGCCATACGGTATGGCATAGCCCTTTGGCCAGCCTGGGTCAGCTGTCCTGGCTGTGCCCCCTCCCAGCTGCTTGCTCACCGGGCAGGGCATGGGAAGCTGAAAAGTCCTTGATTTAATGTAAGCACTACTTAGCAACAACTAAAACATCAGTGCGTTATCAACATTATTCTCATCCTAAATCCAAAACACAGCACTGTACCAGCTACTAGGAAGAAAATTAACTCTATCCCAGCCGAAACCAGGACAATCAGCAAGGTAGGTAACATAACAAGGTAGAAAAAATACTTAAGCAGAGAGAAGCATCAGAGCATCAAATCCCAGCATCAGAGGAGACTTAGGGGTCACCCAGACCCTCCTGAAGGGTACATGTGATGTTCAAGAGGCTTAATTTTAGTGTTTTATACAACCTGGAACTATTTTGTCTATATTTGTTAGCTTCACCCATGGCATGTCCCTCTTCACCCAGCTAAATTATGGTTTTCCGTGACACGCACGTGAGGTGGAAGAAGCATTGGTGGGAGAAGCATTGGTGGGAGCTGCTGCGTCCCGCCAGTGACGTGACTCGTGGGGATGCGCCATATGCGCTTCAAGAAATTATTCTGACAAATGTAAGTTGAAGAGAAACCAGTATTGCAAAGCAAGTGACTTGAAGAATTGCAGCAGTGTCTACCCTGTGGTTTTATCATGTCGCGGGGAAAAGGCGGGTGCAAGGCCAGCCACGCCATCCCACGTGCAGGGAAAGCCCTCAGCCCCGTGTGTGCTCACCCGCTGGGTGCTCCTTGGCCAAGCCCTCTCCCTCCACACTGCCGGCCACCACCTCTGCAAGAGAGAAGGAGTCGGGGGATATAAGCTTGAAAAAGATTTAACTCTTCTCTTGGCATTTTTGTACTATGCAGGTCAGAGGAAGGGAATAAACAGCAAAGGAATATGAATTTTAAAAATCAGTATAAAAAAAATCAAAACTCTTAGCCACTAAACTAAGGCATTACACCACGTCTTTTAAAGCCAGCAGTTTTAACATTGTCATTTCCATTCCAAAGGATGGGCATTTCTCATAACAAACCCATTTGAAGTGCTGTGTTTCACAAAATCACCGTACCTTTTTCATCTGAAGAGAGGGACTCCGCTCCGCTGGAAGACAAAACGGGAGATACATGAGCAGATCCCTCAGTCCTTTGCCGCGCCTCCACGCAAGCGGGTATTTATTCACCTCCCTGCCTGCTGGCATCGCTCCCTGGCTTTGGCCAGGGAATCGGAGGTTATAAGGTAACTTGGGATGGCAGGCTGGGGATTAAAAAATAATTTTCTCTAACATCGCCCACGGCCCTGGCCCTGCCAGGGACGCCTGGCTCTCCTCCACATTTCCCCCTGGCACAAGCCCTTGGCCCCAGCCCCTTTTGCAAAGCACCCAGAGTTTGTGTGCCAAGCACCCATCGGTTTTGGTAGCAATCCAACCAATCTTCAGCAAGGCATGAAGCTCAGATAAACACAGTGGCTCAGATGTGGCAGATGACTCCCATTTGTGCCCGTGGCAAATTTGTGGCCTGTGGCAAATTCAGGCCAACCTTCAGTCTCCATTCACTCTTGAAAAGGGGAAGTGTGCTGGTTTTATCATTTACAGATAAAGATCAGGTCTGGAAACCTTTTGGTGGAGCAAACCACGCAAAGCTCCACAACGTCCTCCCTGCGGCCCCACCGAAGAACCACCATAAAAGCTGCTGCTGAGGAAGGGAATCGCCCTGGACGCAGTTACCATAAACCAGCAGGTGACATCCAGCTCTCCATTGCTTCAGTGGCACGAGCAAACATCCCGGCCCCTCCGCCCTGCCAGCAGCCAGCTGGAACGGCAGCCGTACGCCATGCGGGCAGGGAAAGATCAAATATTCCCTCGCTCTTTGGAGGCAAGTGAGGGATTTCAGTGCCGCCCCAGCGATGCTAAGGGATGCTGGCAATGGCGAAGCCAAGCCACAGCAGTTGCTTTTCAGCAGCTCAGCTCAGGAGGCTGATTTTGACCATCCCGGGCTGTCCGCCGTGCACCCACAGCCCATCCGCTCCGGGCCCCAGCTCCCTGGGGAGCACCCGGCAGCGGGGGGTGCTGCCGGGGTGAGTGGGCATCACCGCGGGGGTCAGAGCCTCGGCCGCCGCTGCACTGGGGCACCTCAAACACAAAATTAAAAAATAAAAAATGAATAGGTGGTAATGGTAGAGGCAGGATAATAAATCCTCTAACGTATGGCTGAGGCACAAGGTGAAGCGATGCAAGCAAGGGGGGTCCTGGGCAGATGGCAGAGCAGGTGGAGCTGTAAGAGTTTGTTGGTCAGGGGCAGGGAAAATGGTGCTGTGGCCAGTTAGACACGCATGAGAAACTGGGTAAGGGTTTCACAGTGGGCATGAATGGGAAATTACACAATGAGGCTTGTGCTTCCAAACTGTATCTTAAAAAAAAAAAAAAAATGACATAGTATCTGCAAGATTTGGACAAAGCCTGGACGTACCCCAGAGACAGCGCCTGAGCCAAGCACTGTTTGTGCAACCCTTCCACCAAGTGCTGGCTTGCTAAATAAGGTTTGCCTGCAGCAGGCTTGTACCCCCTCACAGCTGCATTTCCCTCCTCCTAAGCTAAAAAACACGCTCCGGAGGAGAGAAGCAGGGAGAAAAAAAAAAAAAACAAACTAGCCTTATTCAGTATAAGAAATTATTGCCCACAATTAATTACAATAGGGAAGAAAGGCACTGCCAGCTCCATCCCCTGCCCCGCAAGAGCGGCACGGTTGCGATGCTGTTCCCCAGCGGCCGCTGAAGCAAAGCCAAAGCGGGGTGACCCCGCTGGCGATCCCAGCTTTAGAAGGAAAAGATAAACAGGCTCGTTTCTAAGCGGCCCCAGCTGCCGCTTGTTGTGGCCG